AAAAAAAAACAAAAAATGAGACACATTCAGAGGCATCAAGGGCCCACCCTCTGACAAGTGGTGACTGCAACTAGCTTTATTAATAAGCATGGGCTCCATGCACCATGCCTGTCTTCTCTATGGATCCCAATTCTTTGGTTAAGGCGAGATGAGAGGTTCAACATGAATAATCTGTAACATCTGGGTGGATGTTTGCCCAAAAAAATGAGGGCCATGAGAGCAACAGTTTTGTAAAGGTTCCTGGTGGGGTAAAGGCCAGGCTTAGACAGCATGACCCTTCGCACTAGGTGTCATTTCCTTTCACTTCTCTCGTAAGTCAAAGCAAAATGGAAGCTTTAAGCTGCTAGGAGTGTGATTTAGCATCTTTCAACACTTGTTAAAGATATTTTGTTTTATCTTTGTTTTGGTTTTACAAAGACAAACATTGCTTTCATTACAGAACCTTTTACAGAAAGCAGCAAATCTAACATCTAGTTGTTCTGTTTACTTTCATTATATTGAAAGTTACCTTTATTTTATGGCAAATAAATTACAGGATAAAATAAGTTTTATGTAGTAACTTTTGAGTAAAAACTCAGTGGCCCTATTTAAAGAATGATTAAGGCAACAATGTTATAGAAGGTGGCATAATATTATTGTAAAAATAGTGGGAGAAGGATGCACGTGACTCAAGTTTCTAAGGCACAGCACTCAAGTATGTATTTTATTAATATATTTCCAAAGGCCACCATTTATATAATGATCAAGAACACTTACTCCTTTCTACTCTGCATCGTGATCATTTCTCTTCCATTCTTACTAAATGTGGCAGATTCTACTTTTCAAACATAACTTGATAAATGTGTGTATACATACATGTACAGTGTTATACACATGCAGAGTATATATAAAAGATATAAATATTTTAACATTTCATGTAAAATATAAAGTATATATAACTTTATTTATACCTATACTCTATTTTTATATTATGCAGACAAATATATACATATATGTCCACACATTATGTATGTGAGCATATTTGTATATTCATACATATTTGTCTACTTCTCATTCAATGTGGCTAACACTGATAATTGAGGTTGATGTTTCCCTTTACACTCGGGTAGGGTGTGTGACACCTTGGCCAATGGAACACAGGGAATTGATGCCATGTGACTTCTGACTCTAGGTCATAAAAAGGGTGCAGCTTCTGCCTGGTGCACACTCTAGCATTCACCCTTGAGACCTAGCCACCACACTGTGTGGAAACCCAGGCCACATGAAGTGACCGTGTGTAGAAGTTTGACCAATCCTCAACCAAAGTGTCAGCAGACAGACACTACCAGCCACTAGAAAGGAGCTTACAAGCTGCAGATGATTCCAGCCACCAGCCTCTGGCTCTTCTAGCAGAGGACCCAGGTGCCCTGTCATACAGACAGAGCTCCCTTGATGAACTAAGTTAATTCCCTACTCACACCATCACAGTGAGCATCGTAAATAACTGTCTCACACCACATAGGTTTGACAGCATTTGTTTTGCATCCCTAATAATTAGAACACCGCAATGCGTGCTTAATGAACAGGGTAACTGAGCACCCCTGTAACTGTGTGCCCCCTACAGTGGCCTGCATTTAACAGAAGCTCTGTGTGTATACAGGAATGAGGGAATGAATTAATGAAATGATTTCACTGAGGCCCTGATCACAGGCCTGCCTCTCCATCCAACCAGTATGCAGCTTCTGGTCCAGCCCCAGTTATTCTTCCCTATGATGTAAGGATCCTCTGTGGCTCCCTATCAAACACAGCCACCTCTGCCTGGCACCTTCAGCCCTGAGTCTCAAGCTTCCAACCATTTTCCCTCTTACCTCTTGGAAACCATACTGGCTGCTTTCCTAATTTTGATGAGAAGTAGAATCTTGGGCATGGAGTATGTGTTTTCTGTTGTCCTTGATGTTGACTTTCAGTGTTTTTCTTCTTGCCCATGGTTACTTTCTTTCCTTTGCATAACTGGGAAACTAGAATTTAAGACCTTTTAGGTAGAGATGCACTTAGCACCACGTCTCACAAGTCAGCACCTTTGAATCTGGCTCTTTCTTGCTCTACAAATTTTCCTTCAGATTAGCTGAATGAGTTTAGAGCTGACACATCATCACTGCAGAACTCCAGCAAGTTTCTTGCAAGTAAAGCTAATCACATTTTTTGAAGACTCCTATAAACCAGTCACAGAAGGCTATAAATTAGGAAGGGAATGGCAGGAAGATGAAGTTGCTTATACATCAATATATTAAGCTTCCTCCTTCCTGAAAGGTCATTCTTCAACTTGCCCACTTCCTAGGGAACAGAAGAACCTTTCCACCCACACTGGCCTTTCTGACAAGGCATCGGGCAAAGATATGCCCAAACTTGCCAAGTCAACTCAGAGCACTTCCTAGCCAGCCCACCACGGATGCTCTGCTATTCATTTTCCTTTCATCATAAATCCAGTAGTTCTGAGGTTAACACTCAAGAAGTTTCCTCACCTCTCCGGCAGCACACATTCCTGAGGAGCAAAGTGGCAACACTCGTTTGCAGAGGAGGAAACGCAAAGCTTAAAACTATGAACCAATAGGGATGAATCCCCATAGAAACTGGCAGAACAATGGAATGGGAAATAAAGGTTCCTACCAGGAATAAATACTGTTGATCTCTTCTCGTCCAAGCAGAGATATAATATTGACCCTATCTATCAGTTGAGTCTTAGCCTGGGTTGTACAATGAAATTGCTATTCGTTTGCTACATCTTTACTTAAGAGGCACGGTGACCCCAAATGCCCAGTCCGCTCTTCTCTCTGGGTTCTCAGAGCCCGTCTTCTCCTGTTCTCCCAGAACTGCTCTTCTCGTAGTGTGCAAGTAAAGCCGGGTCACATGTGCTTCCTTCCATCAGCATTACATCCTCCCAAAAGCAAGCAAGCTTTGAAGGTGAATCCCATGCCTTCACGGAGCTTCAGCTTTACTTCCTGTGCAACCTGGAACAGCGTGGAGAAGCGCGTGTAACAGCCTCACCCATGGGATTCAACATACGGCCCCAATGAAGGTAGGGACGGGAGGCACAGTGGGGTCACCTCCTTCTGGGGGCTCCCAACACTCGCAGGTGTCTACACCCATCACCAGTGTCATTTTCTCTGACACGCTGCCAGGCCCTATTGCTTTGGGCTTTTGTTTTGTTTTTCACAGTAGGAGCCTAAACCCAAATAATAGTTTATAAAGCAAAGAGATGAAGCATTTCACATTTACTAGGAGCAGTAAACTAATAAGAAAAAAACACCCTGCCCAAAGGCAAACATTAAAAAACCATTTGCCCCAGTTTTTTCTTTCTCCATGTTCCCTTCTACCACATCACTCCTGAATTTACAGCCCGAAGATAATTTTGGTCTGTTCTGCTGCCCGAAAGAGGCCGGAGGCGGTTTATTATCCTAACCCCAATGCATTCTGATACCAAGCGGAATCCCAGGTACTGCATTTCCTTTCTGAACTGGTCCTGGCCTCTCTATATTTTCATTTTCAAAATGAAAATGCATTTCAGATGTCTTTACTTTGTTTTTTTTCCCAGAGAGAATTTATGCAAAATACACATTCCTGAGGGAAAAGATGTTGCCAAATTATTTTGCAAATGATTATTTTCACTCACCCCATACAATAATTTCAGCTATATTTTATAGTGATTTCTGATTTCTGCTTAAGTATAAACACTCTTAAACACTGAGTTTAGAGTTCCCCAAGGTAAACTTGAAGCTGTTTTGCTAAATAATACAATAATTAAATTCTCTGAGGAAGTTTGATATTTAAAAATATATTTCAAAATGCCTTTGAAGTTTTATTTTGTAATCTCGTCATCCCTTAACATTTTGTAATATAAATTCTCTTTTAATATACGAGGGTTTTGTTTATAAGCGAACACTGCAATTTTAAGCTCTCAACTGTTGTATAAACCCTTAACTAGGTAAGTTTACATCAAGGTAGTCATTTGACTAGGAAAAAGCAGAACTCTGAGATGCCCTGGTAGATGATGTGAGCTGTACAGGAAAATACAGAAAGTGGTAAACACATTTTCAGCCTGCGTTCACAAGCTATAAGAACTGCGTTCTCTTACTATCTTTACTTTTTATTGCAAGTTTTCTCAGCTTTTCTTTCTTCTCAGTCCACGCGGCAGTACGTGACTGCACTCCTGGTAAGGATCTGGTGCGTGTACAAATCACATCTCCACTCTGTTTTCCACCCCTTTTGTCTTCCTCCCTCCATCTCTTGGTCCCTTT